TTTTAGAAGTTTATCAATTTATTAAGAGAATTGTCATTGGCAGGATTCGAACCCAAGTACCTTAGAGTTGGAAGTCGATACTCCAACCACTAAACTACTAAAATTTTTTGATAATAACTTACAAATAAATTATATTTATATACAAATAAATATATATATCCGTGTAAATATATAAATACAAATATATTTATATATTTTGATATATTTATATATTTTATATATTTATATGTTGGATGTGAGGGCACACTCGAAAGTGAAAGTGTGTGTCGAGTGGGTTTTCAAAATTTGATGCTAAATTTGTGAGCAAGTATCTTTATATGAGTTTGTAATTTAATGACGTAATATAATCTTTATAATTTTATTTATATAATGATATAAAATAAATTTGGAAAACGCGTCATTCGCTCTCAAGCGAAAAATACCAATTTTCGCTCAAGCGAGGCTTGAGTGTGTGAATTTCCGTGAGTTTTAACATATTTTCACTCAAGCGAGAGTCAATCACACTTTCACCCTTAATCGAAAAATACCAATATAATTTATTTGTAAGTTATTATCAAAAAATTATAGTAGTTTAGTGGTTGGGATATTAACTTTCAACTCTAAAATACTCGGGTTCAAATCGTCGTCGATGACAATTCATTAACTTAAGTGAATTTTTAGTTGAAAAAAAATTAAAATACTTTCAAGAAAATATATACAAATAAATATATATTTACATGGATATATATTTATTTGTATATAAATATAATTTATTTGTAAGTTATTATCGGAAAATTATAATAGTTTAGTGATTAGAGTATTAGTTTTCAATTCTAAAATCCCGAGTTCGAATCCTACTAATGACAATTTTCAAATTTAAGTGAATTTTTGGGTGAAAAAAAAACTTTCCACGTTGGTTCATATGGGAACCGACGTGGAAAGTGTCAATAAGTGAAAAAAATAAAAATAAAAAAAGACTTTCAACGCTCGGCTCATATGAGAGCCGACGTGGAAAGTACTTTCTACGCTCGGTTGACTTAAAAGCCGACATAGAATGTGTTTAATATTCAACTTTCAACGCTCGGCTCATCCGGAACCGACGTGAAAACTACTTTCTACATCGTCTCCTCTATAACCGACATTAAATGACGACGTAGAAAGTATATATTTGTAGTAGTGATTGGATTTTTTTTAAATGGACAAAAATATTGAAGGAGAAAATAAATTATGAAAATAAATTATCAAATTATTTATTATTTTTTTAGCATTTTCCATAAATACAGGTAATGATTTTTTTTAATCCTATTCTTAAAATTGTGTTTGAACATGTTTTTCCTCAAATATTATAAAATAATATAAAATTTTTTATGAATTAAAACTATTAAAAATAAAAAAAATGACACCTAAAAATATACTCTCTTCTTTTCATATAGTTGAAGCGAATTTAGTAGAGGTAAAATGATTTTCAATACTTTTAAATTTAAAAATTCATGTTGTTTGATAATTAATAATGATCTTATATAAATTAACTGACCTTCTCCGAGTATTTCAGCTAATGCATTATCAATTACCCAGCTTACAAGATTAGTTGTTACAATTTTTAATTTTGTTTAGAATCGAGAAAACGATGGGTTGTATTCTTTGAAGAAAGTGATAAAAATGGTTTATGTTTGTAGCATTAAAAAAATAGAAAGAGTGAAAAAAAAAAATGGGTTGGGTGGGACACGTCAACGAAACCCCCATGTTCTGATCTGGCAAGCCAAGTAACGCCAGCCTAGCATTTTCGACATTATTGTTGTGGGTCCCACTTTTGCATTCAAAATAATGCAAGTGAACATATTAATAAATAATAATAATTATAATTACCTAATATTTCAAAAATACCAAATAACAGTTCAAGTTTTTTTTTTTTTAATTTGTCATTGCTATTAATTGGTGTTTTTTATTTATTTACCATGAATATAGGAAAAACAATCTCAAGTTTAAATGTTTTAACTTACAGTCATTTCTTATTTAGCAACAAGTCAAGTTTGCTGAAAAAAGCACACACAAGTTTGTATGCACGCCATTAACATACCAAAAACTTCATGTTTATTTTGACCATAGGTGGTGCCATTTTTCATAGCTAAATAATGAGTTCACAAATGAAAATCAACTTTTACACTTAACCATGTCCTCTGTTTTATGCCATTTATACTTGACATTTAGTCAATAATTGTGTTAATTTGGAAACTACTCTAGCTTGCACGTTTTCCTTAATATTAGCTTCTAGGTTTGAATATGAGATGGATAAAATGAACTTCCCTCAACCTTCTCGTTTTAATAACACTAACGTTTTCGAATTGATGTACCCCATTAATACAAAATATATATATTTTTTTAATAAATTTTGTTCTTTCACTTTTTGGATTTGATATATTTTAAATCTAATAAAATGAAACCCATAAGGGTAAAAAAATAAGGAAAATGTTTCATTTTTAATTAAAATAATTATATATAAAAACATAATAATTTAAAGAAGTGTTATATACTCACTTAAACACAAAAAACAAAAAAGTCAGATCCTTTGTACAAAATATATGAACTTGTCATCCTATAACCAATAAGCGAATAGAATAAGAGCAAACAAAGTAATAATTAAACTTTTCTTAATTATGAATCCATTCCAAAGATAAAATATTATTCTCATTTCTTCCAAGTCTTTATACCTATCTTCAAAAACCTTTATATTTCTTCTTTTCAAAATTACTAACTTACAAACTAAAGCTTCTTTATAGATATATAAGATTTTTCTTAAATGAGAGACAACAACAATCTGAATTATTTTAAGTTTACATGAAAGAGAGTTTTCATAGACTATAACTTTCACAACCTTATTACAAATTGTTATTTATGTAATTTTAGTTTTCTCACGATTATTACAAAATGTACATAAACTTTTTTTATTGTGAAAAAAATTATAAAAACTATACAATAAAAATAATTAATCAAGAGTCATCTCATAATAAATATGTTTTTTTTTTTTAAAACCTTGAACGCGCGGAATATTGTCAATATGTTTGTATTGCTTAATAATGTTTTATATAAATGATATAATGTTTTGATTTATATTTTTTATATTTTTTATTATATTATCTAACTAAAATATTAAGATTGATGTATTGTGTCGATATTGGATTGATGCAGTCTTGTTTATCTTATGTGAAATCTATAATGGAACTGAGTTTAAGTTTAAATAAATGACTTCAGAAAGATTTTAAGGCAGAAAAGAAAAAATTAATAAAAAACATCACCCTTTTGGTTGATTGTTGTTTTAGTGCAATCTTAAGCTTAAAAGTTTAACCTAATTCATTGACTCACATATTTTAAGGGTTTTGTTGCGCTTTACAAGGTGGTTTCTTAACTTGTATGTTGAATAACTTCAACTCCATTTTTTCAAGAATGGTTTTTCCAATATAATATACTACTCGTGACATAAAAGATGTGACATTTATTTCATCAAACACCACCACATAAAATGCTAATGGATTGACCAAACATCTCATCACCCTTTCATTCCAATCTAAATGTTATCTTTTTTGTTTTGTTTTGTCAAAATTATGTTCAATTTACTGTTAACTTAGTATTCGAATATTTGTATGAATTTTTCTTTGAAACATCAATAATTCAAAATAGAAATATATTTATAAAATTCATTATAGATCTAACATATAGACATATTTACTTATAGTAGATTTTGATGGTTTTATATAGTTTATATACATAAAAGTATTTATTTATTATAAATTTAAATTATAAAAATGAGTATTTATTAGATGCAGTGCACAAACTAAAATGGCAGAAAAAATTGTTCACATCTTTCAACAAAACAAAATAGGAAGACAAATTACTTTTTTAACCTATATTCATATAAATTATTCAATTTGATTATTAAAAATTTCAGTAAAGTGTCTTAATTTTTTAAAAATGCGTCAATTTGGTTCCTTTTTTTTTTTTAAATGTAAATGCATTTACTTAGTTATAACTAGTGTTTAATTGTTTAGTTAATTTGATATTATTTTATCACATAATATACTAGTTAATCATCGTTTGTGTCATTTTGATAAAAGAAACGAAGTTGATGTTATTTAAAAAATTAAAGAACTTAATTGAATGTTTAATAACATAGATGAAGTTGAATAATTTATGGGAAATAAGTAATTTATTAAATATACTCCAACTATTTGAGAAAGCATCACTTTCTCTTACCACGAGCAGAATTATGAACCTAAATTTTACCTACAAAAATTGATTCCAAGCAAAAAAGGTTAACTTTGTGGTACTCTTATTATATTTGTGATACTCCAAACAAGAGGTTAAATCAGTGAACAGCATTTCTAACACATGTTATTATATTATATAAGAGCAATGATTGAGGGAGGGAGAACTGATTAAATCTGTCACTTGTTCACACAGTCACATGTCACTTCAGTGAGAATTACGTAATTAATTAGTCTACGTATTAACCAAATCATTGAGCACACCATATTATTTCTCTTAAAACTCATAATCACATTGCCCTGAGAGATTAAATAAAACTAGTAATTTAGTTATTGAAATATACGATAAAATAAAATAAATAATTTCCAATATATTAGAAATTATGTTATGTGTTAAAAAGAATCTTCATATGAGTATCTTAATATTAGAAAAAATATGTAGGGATTTAATATTTTAAAGAGGCTTTTAAGAGTGTAAAAACTACATGGATTGTTTATTGGTGAGGAAGGGTTTTTCTGTGTGTCGGCAAGAGAGAACCATAAAATTGGTATTTTGTGGGTAAACCAAAAAATGAAGTAGAATATGAAAGTGGGAATTATTGTTAGATATAAAATATTGATATTTTATAATGCAGTGTCCTTGTTGTATGCGTGGAAATTGTTTAATATAGTACGTAATAAGGAAAATGAAATGCAGAGCTGGCATTTTCCTTTATAGCCGTCACTTTCGACTACCTCCCCCGTTTGTTTTATTGTTTCTAGTACTTGGTTGGCATTATATACGAAATAGCACTTCCTCTCTTCTTCTTGTTCTGTCCTAATGTTCTTCTTCTACCGCTAGCTCTACCCTCTTCTCTTCACTCCACACTCTTCTTTCCTCTCAGCTTCCTATTTCTCTTTCTTGGAGAGGGGAACAGACCCATGAAGAGGCTAGTAAGTACGTTGTTAAGAAATTAGAAAAAAAAAAAGGTTTTTCATGGTGGGGTTGTTTCGTCTTCAATTATGTTCTACCCGAAAAAAAAAGGCCTTTTTTTTTTACCCAACTCCCACAATTGATCTCGGTGTTTGTTCTAGATTTTGTGGTGACTTCCGAGGTTAAATTGTGGTATAATGCCTGGGTTTTTCATCGTAAATTATGTCAACCCTTTGCTCGTCAAGATCAATTCTCGAATCGGAAAGGATCTCGCAGAAGCGAATTTAGTGAAGATTGGTTGGTGATTGATTGCGCCGTGGCTGATTGGTTGTGACATTGTTTTCGTGTCTCTGAAAAATGGGTCTAGAGATTTTATTCATCAATGTTTATGGTCTAGCTGGTTTTTTTCTATTAATGTCAATGCTATGCTAGTTTGAATTACATGTTTGGCTTCTAATTATCCTAATTATGGTATTAATTACCTTGCGTTTTTCCTGAAACGGTTTTATAAGTTATTGCCAAATTAGCTTGTTTGCTTTAAGTATGTGTTGTTAATTGTTAGTTGTTCCTCAAATATTCCTGGTTTCTTTCCTTTTGAAAATGTGAAGTGTTCACATCTTTAATATCAAATTATGTCTTTTTTCGTTTGCTTCTGTAATTACTGCTATCTAGCAATCGCTTTGTTCTCTGGGCAGAAGGCAAAATCTCTTCAAGAGAAACTCGAATGGAGTATTTATGTTGCCATTCAAGCTTTTTTGTTGTTGTTGTTGTTGTTGTTGTTGAAGTTTTAATGACTTTAATTTCATCGTATCTGATGTTTTGATGTTCACATTGCCGTTCCTACTGTTCTTACCCAATTAGCAGTGTGCTTTAAATTTTCTTCTTTTTCTTCATATTACTAGGTAACTGTGCTTTTACTCATAGTATTAAGCACTGCTCTGGAAGGCAATGGAGAAGATGATCATGGGCCTTGTAAACAGAAAGTGTTGGATCCTAGGCCTCACAGTGTGTCAATCTTAGAGTTTGGGGCAGTTGGAGATGGAAAAACATTGAACACAGTTGCGTTCCAAAATGCAGTTTTTTATGCCAAGTCATTTGCCGACAAAGGTGGTGCTCAACTATATGTTCCATCTGGCAAATGGCTTACCGGAAGTTTTAACCTTACCAGCCACCTTACACTCTTCCTTGAAAGAGGCGCAACCATCATTGCATCGCAGGTTTTAATCATTCACTTGAATTTTAGCCCCCAATTTAATTACCTTGTCCATTCCATAGACAAAAACTAAGGGGTAACTAATAGTTTTGTTTCTTGCATATTATCAAAATTGTCTCACCCGAAATTCAATCATGGTGGGAAATACATGTACTCAGTATTTGGCAGCATTTTGTATTTTCAATCAAATCTATGTTGCACTTGTACAGCAAAATAATTGGGTTCACGTTACCAGTAGAGTGTTTGTATGTGTGTTCAATAACTGTTAAGAAAAACCCAGAAGGGTAAACAAAATAAATTATTCAATGCCATTCTTCTATGCTTGCCTAATCTTGTAATCCTGCCTGTCTTCTGGAGCATAAAAAGTGTATATGAAATTATTTCTTCTGCAATTTGCAGGAGGAAACTGCCAATATACAATATTTACCGGAATTCCAATTTTGTTCACTCTTGAAAATTTTACATGTGCCGTTTGTTTTGTATCATTTCAGGATTATGCACACTGGCCTGCAGTGGATCCCCTACCGTCCTATGGTCGGGGAATTGATGTTCCAGGTGGAAGATATTGCAGTTTGATTTATGGACAGAACTTAAGCGATGTGGTGATTACAGGCAGGGATATTCATCCATTACAATATTTTTATTGATAAGTATTTCTCGGATAGGATGAACATTGCAGTGCTACCAGACTCAAATTGGTGTATTTAATAATTAATAAATGCAACAGGTGACAGTGGAATTATTGATGGGCAGGGTTCTGTTTGGTGGGACCTAATCAGAATTCATTCCTTAAACTACAGCAGACCACATATAATAGAACTTGTTAGTTCTGATAATATCGTAATCTCAAATTTGACCTTTTTAAACTCTCCTGCTTGGAGCATCCATCCAGTGTATTGCAGGTACAAGTGATTCATGTTTGTGTCTCTGACATATCTCTTAAATGGAACTGTTTTTTTTTTTTATATGTATCTTTCACGGTGCATGCAGCAACGTTCGAATCCAAAACATAACAGCTCATGCACCAACCGAGTTCCCTTACACGAGTGGTATAGTTCCAGGTAAATAGAGAAATTATTGCTTGTGACTTTTCAGATTTTTGATGTAGTACACAACCCTCACATTTCAATCATGAAAATTTTAGTTGTTTAAATCTTTTATTTAGCTAGCAGTAACATTTCTAAATACGATTGAAGAAAGTGTACTTTCTCAATTCTCATATTTGCTGTATTCCATTTCACAAGTTTTCTGTTTTCTGTTTTTGTTTATGCAATTTTAAAAGATTTTACTCTATACTTCGATATTCCAAATGTGGTTTAGTCATTTAATGGTAGCTTAATGTACCTTCCTTGCTTAGAGACAGTTCTGTGAACTATTTTTTGTAGGCATGATGAATCTCATTAGTGTTTGCTGCTTGCAGATTCTTCCAACCATGTTTGCATAGACAACAGCAGTATTAGCACTGGTCATGATGCAATTGTGCTGAAGAGTGGTTGGGATCAATATGGAGTTGCCTATGGCAAATCAACCTCGAATGTTCATATCAGGGGTGTTTATCTACAATCATCATCTGGTGCTGGCCTAGCATTTGGAAGCGAGATGTCTGGAGGCATATCTGATATAATTGCAGAGCATCTCCATATTAGAAACTCAACTATTGGCATTGAACTGAAGACAACTAGGGGTCGAGGTGGCTATATGAGAAACATCTCCATTTCTGACACAAAATTGGAAAACATTTACTTGGGTATTGGCATGACAGGCTTCTCTGGCTCCCATCCAGATGACAAGTATGATCCTAATGCAGTTCCGGTTGTTGGAAATGTTACTTTTGAGAATGTGATTGGCGCAAATGTTGCTATTGCCGGAAATTTTTCAGGAATAGTTGATTCACCTTTCACTCCTATCTGCCTTTCAAACGTGACTTTTTCTACCAGTTCTGAGTCATCTCCTTCATGGTTTTGTTCTAATGTAATGGGAGTCTCTGAGGAGGTGTTTCCTGAGCCATGTCCTGACCTGCAGAAAACGCAGCCCAACTTTTCGTCTACCTTTTCTTCTCTACATCCATCTTCTAGTTATGTCTCAAGCGCTTGAGATAACCATCTCTAAGAATCTAGTCATTCCTTTGATTCAACCTGTACATGAGGCACAGCATTCATATTCCATCAGGAACTTCATTACAATTTTCCAATAAAAGAAAATTCTTGATGTAAAGATGTTCTTTCTCTTCAACATTTCAATGAACCTTCCTCCTGTCTGTGCATGAAAAGTCCTATAGAGTGGTGTCAATTCTGAATATTATTTTATGTACAGCCTCGATTTCTTCATTCATGTACAAGAAATTTTTGATGTTGGTGTACAGCCCAAGACGCTCTTCGCTTTCAACTCACCATGTATATGGTTTTCTTGTCCATGGCTGGGCATTGTGATGGTGTGTGGTGTACTGTTCTGATAAAACTACGGTTTTCTTTACATAATTCTCTTTATGTTAGACCACTGGATTAATCTTAGAGTATCTTTGTTCATTGTTTCTTGATATTGCATCTTTTTTGGATTGATAAAATTTGGAAGAAAGGATGACAGTCGAGTCCAAGTAGTGCAAGGGAAAGGCTTTGGTTTAAAAAATCTTTACAATCATATTTACATTTACCTCATTCCAAAGAGATTAGATACAATAAGACTTTTTTAGTTTTTACTTCACTGGATCATCCCTGTCCTACTAATATTATTATTAGCTTTGAATTTTGGGATGATTTTTATTCTCATGAGATAACAAGTACTACAAATCCATAACTAATGAAGGTTAGGATGATGCGAGTGCACCAGGCTCAAGGTTGAAGGATTTCTGTCCTAATGTCGGGTTAGTGGTTTTTGATTCATCTCAAGCATTTTGCAATTGCTAGACAGCTAGCTATTCATAACTGAAGGTATCATGGTGACAGAGGCAAGGCTAGTTTCTTGTCACCACTAATTCCATCAATGGTAGTTCAGTGTCCCTCTCCCAGCCATCTGGGGAACCCATAACAACTCACGTTGTCTTTCTCATGTAAGCAGCACTAACTCGCATCTAACATGCAAAACCTAGTGATCATTATCATGAAATCTACGTTGGTTTGCACGTTCCATCAATTAGTGTGATAGTGCCAGAATTATGCAAGCAACTTGTAAGTTGTAAGGAATCTCAAGCTCTGATTGGATAGTCTTAATCTTGATCATAGTTATACAAGTTACAATGGGTTACGATTGTGAACTCCCAACTAAAGCCATGTGGCCAACCCTTTAAGCCGAATCTAACCAAAGTTTGTCTATTGGTCTGTTATGAGAATCTTTTAAAGATGGTTTTATCCAAAAAATGTGACTGAAAAGAAAAGACAAATTAAAAGCAATAGAATAAAAATGTCTTCCACTTTGTCTCTAATCCAACCTATGTTTTCTGTTGTTCCTTTGATAGGGTGGGACATGATTTAGTGGCTATACTCGGGTTAGTTTGGATATAACTTCATTAAATTCATCATCTAACTCAATAATAATAATAAAAAATATTAGATTAATCGAGTTTTTATAATTTTTTTTATCAAACTCTATGAATTTTGCCCAACAAGAAAGAGAGAGTTTAATATTAATCATAGATATAAAATCTGTAAACTAATGAAAGGTGAGAAAATATGAATGTAAGATCATAACTCTTTATCCCTGAGGGAAACAAAAGGAAAAGATAAATAAACAAGTTATAACTTTTTATCTCTTCTATGAGTCAACGTGACTACTTAACTTGTAAAGAACTTGAAACCAAGTTAGCTAAAATGATGACTGTCCGAGATAAAGTCGGTTATAGCTATAAAGTTCAATATAAGATTATGAGATGTTGAATCTGGTAGAGCAAGTTAGACATCTCCTCATAAGCTTACATGAACATAAAAGTAAAGGCAGGAAAGTAAATATAGAAAAATAAACAAGTTCATGATAATATTATGAGATGCCGAATCTGGCAGATTCGGTTAGACATCTTCTCATAAGCTTATATGAACATTAAAAAAACCTATACAAAATTTTTAAGCCTTTAAATGATTATCACATCTTTTAATAAATACTACTTAAGGTATCCGAGGACGCCCATACAAGAAAACTACTCCATAAGAGAAAAAAGGAAAAATAAAGAAAACTTACTTACGTAGGGGGAGAAGGAGAAAGGATGATCTGAAATACTTCTTTTTATTGATAGAGAAAAATATACATAAGAGAGAGAGGGATAGAGAGAAGAGGAGAGAAAGGAGAGAGAGGGAAGTAGTGAGAGAGAGGGGGAGGAGGCTTCTGCCCAACATAAGGGACTTATGAACTCTTTTATAGACAAATTTTGCAACCTGCAACTTGTTCAACCGGTTATCTAATGACCGGTGAATTGTTGTTCCAATTTTGGGATGATCGGATACTTGAGTAGTCGATTTTTACCCTTCAATCTATTACTTAGTAAGAGTAAAATTACTGTGTCACAGGTAAAAACTTTTATGATCATCTTCTGGTAACTGCTACATAATTGATATCTCCAAGTTCTTCTTCAACCATTTGATCTGTGAAGTTTGTTTCCTCATCATCAGAGGAAAATGAAGCTTCAGGAGTCTTTTGTCCATAGATTCCTATTTCTTCATAAATTTCTTTGTAAATCCTTTCCTTTCCAAAGTGTTTCACCAGAATATGGCTGGCTTCAATGGGAAAAGGATAAAATTTGTTTCCCATATGTCATTTCCAATACAATTTGGTGTCAGCTGTTTCTTTAAGAAGAATAAAATCTGAAATATCTCTTTTTGAGAAATTCCAGTTAGATCCTTCTATGTAAGCTTTCCAGAGTTGATATTGGTATAACTTATCTTTGTTTAGGGAGAGTCCTTTTAATGGATCATTCTCCATTGAGGCGTGTATCTCTGGGTTTGCCTCTATGTATAACTTTACAACATGTTTTGCCACACTGTCAAGTGAAGTCGGATTTCTAGGGGAAGAAGTAATGTGTAGACACACATTGGTCATGTGCTATGCTTGTATCTCATTTACTACAGAATTTATTTCTGGAGTTAATGAGTGGAATCTCTCCGTTGGTGGTATAGAGAGAGTTTGTAGGCATCCAGCTTCAAGTAACAGTTGTGGGCTTATCGGAAGCTCTCGGTACAGCTAGTTTTTGAAGGTCTTTAAATCAATTTGAGCCCTTAAGATGATAAATTTTATTTGACACGTGCATTTTGTGGTTACTGTTTTACAATATTCGGATAATTCTAAGCACGAGCTTCTTGTTTTGAAATATGTATGTGTTTTTATAAAAACCCCATTGTAATTTTGGGCTTCAGAATGGACTTCAAACAAAAATTCTTGGCTAAAAAAATATTTGGATTTACCTGAGTAGGAATGCTACAGGCATCTACATAGGTTTGTGTTTGAGCCTTCGGTTCAAATAAAATGGTCATTTTTATTTTTTGCTCATCAATTATTTCCAATTTCAAAGTTATTTGGGCTTTTTCTTTGGAATTGAATCCTTTGTAAGTAGACAAAAACTGGTCTTGTTTGGCTTCAGAGAGGTCTCTGATTGAAGTATAAACTCCTTTGTTATGTCCTGTAACTAGGGCAAAATGTGTAAACCCCTTCCTAGAGGAAGAGGCTAGCGAAGTTAACAGAACTCCTTTGTTATCTGCATTGCAGAAATTGTATAGTGTGCTAATAATGCTTTGCTTCATTCTAGCGACTTGTTGCTCATTTTGAGCTGTGTATTTTTGAATATTCCAAATGTTGTCAATTAAAACATTTAATTTGACATTTGTATTTTCTCTACCAGGAAACTGGTATAGATTTGTGAGCATGAGTAACTCTTGTTTCCCATACTTTATGTATTTTTCCACCATAAAAGAGGATTTTTGTAGAATCCATTTCATGGATTTTTGTACTAGCAAAACATTAGAAAACAGGTTACATTATTCAAAAGAAATTTTAAGCGATAAAATGGCTTATTTCCTTTAGTTTTATTTTTAAAAGGTTGATGTTAAACTCATAAAAAGTAATCCCTAATGCATAGTTAGGAGGATTTTGTTTGAACAACTCATCTCTTTTTAGACGATGTTTGGTCAATTTTCTTTTTAACTTCTTGATTTGTTTTGTGATTTTGATGGCGGGGTTTGGGCTATGAATAGCAGCAAATCCCATGGGACTTATCAAATGGGCATGTCCCGGAGGAATCTTAGGGTGATTTTGTACCAAATACAAATTATTATTCATATTTTAGGGTTTTGTTTGTAAAGGATTTATGACTCCTTTATTTTTGAGTGATATACCTGGAAAGGATGTCAGAGAACATATTGTCAGTACTTTAATATGTTAAAAATTTATAATTTTTTCAGAATTCATATAATCTTTAAAAAGAAGTCATCTTCTGTGTGGATTTTTATCATTATGAATCTGGTTCTTTCCATAAGAAACAATTGTTTCACAATCGGTTCTGATGGTTATTTCAGGTTTATTTATCAGAAATAATTTAAATGCTTCCAGAGAATGTATGATAGCATTTACTTCATAGTCAGTGCTTGTTTGATAAACTTATGGTTTTGCAGTGTATTTGCTAGAGGCATACCTACATATTTGTTCTTTGTTTTTAGAAGAATATTTGTTTTTCTTTCGTTTTAGAATGAAACCATATCCTAATTCACTTCCATCACACTCAACTACTAAAAAGTCAGAGTCTAATGATAATTGTAAAATTGGTAATTTGTTTACCATTTGTTTTATATTCTGAACTAATTTTATATCTTCATAATTAAATTTTCTTTCTCCTCTAAGAGAAGTCTTGTTGTATAAAGGAGAAGTGTATTTTTCCAAATTTGGAATGAAATTTTGGGCATAATTTAAAAGTCCTAAAAGGATCTTAAAGTTTTTATATCTTCCATTTTATCAGGAAAATCTTGGATTTTTTTAGAAATATGGGGTTTGAGTTTTATGGTTCCGTTCCATATTTCCGTTCCTAGGAATTCTATAATTTTTTTACAGATTTCCATTTTATTTTTAGAAACTATTAATCCATAGTGTTCTAATCTGTATAAAACTTGTTTGAGATGAAGAAA